CGTCTTTATCGTGGTGGGTGTTGGTTCACCATTGTAGTCGACTACTCGACTAAACACGACTAAGTTTCGTGTCAAGTCTTGGCTCGATGGCTCTCACTGCTGTTTGACACAAAGGACTCGTTTTTAGAAAGAAATCGTTGAATTTAGACGGCATTTGTACATAAAGACGCCCACATGCATCAAGAGTCGATGCTATCGCTGACGTGGAACCCTTGTATCGGTGCAACACTGTCACTGCTCAACCGTGACTGGACCGCGGTCGTGCATCTGCCTCGGCGCGCCTACGAATGCGTTAAAGCGGTTTGACACAAAAGAAAGAAGGATATACTTGGTCGGTAGCTGCTGGTTGGACTGGTGTTTGGTGGCACTTGTGGGCGCACGATTGGGCTCCTTGTCAACGTCGCCTTGGTAGACGTGCCCGTCCATACCGACGAGATAGCTGTCGTAGTTTAAGCTTGGGAGCGGCTGCTTGGGCAGAAGCTTCTGGGGTTTTTCATAGCCGGGCGCGTGGCCCTGAAAACCACCGCCGTACGTGGGCGCAGCGAGCATCGAGTTGCACGCCAAGCAACGCTCCTTCTCCAAGCTACCAAAAAGCATTGTGTACGGCGCTGCTTTGCAAAGCAGTACCTTGGCAGCGGCCCCGACCGCCGGTGGATCGAGTGCTTGGTGAGCATTGCGGCTTCAGGTTCTTGACCCATGGCGCTGGCCTTGGTGACGGCAACAAACATACTACGTTCGTCTTATACGTATCAACTTGAAAGATTGAAACAGTCGTCGACACCTGTCGGAAAGCGTCTTGAGCAAGAGCTGCATTTCGTCGCGGTCGGCTTTGGATTTCAATGCAGAGAAGACGTCTTCCTTGTTCATCTTGAGATCGATGAACGCACGGAGGTTCTCGACCTGCGATATGACACGAGTAGAATGCGAGGGGCATGCGCACGAAGAAGGGACGTACTTGCTGGCGCACACGCGAGTCGTACAGCACTTGCTCTTTGACTTCGAGCAAATCTCTATGCCCCAACGTATATCGACCACATTCCACAAGCTAAACGATACTTTTTGTCGGCTTTGCTCGCCGAGAGGTTTTGCACGAGGTCTTGCAAATCGCGGCAGTTGCGCTTGAACTCGTCCTACACTAGATTTTAGCTCTCATTGCCGCGACGAGAATCGACCTCGTCCTCGTTGATGGCCGACATGGCCTTTTGCAGCTGCTCAATGATCTCTTCGTACTTGCTCTCGATGATGAGGTCGACTTTGACACGGTCGGCTTTCTCCAAGAGTGCCCGCTGCACTTCTTCCACCGCACCTACAGACGTGGAGTCCGTGGCCGTCGTGGATCACACTTCCATACTTGTGTTGTCGTCGAGGGACTTGCGCGCCTCAAACATCATGTCCTGAATACCCTTGCTCTGTCGAGCAAACTTGTCGCTCGTGTCCCGCAAAATATCTTCTCGCCGCTTGTTGTCTTCGTGGTAGAGCTCGAACCAGTGCGTGAGCGGTCGGTCGTTGTACATGACGGCGTCCGTCGTCAAGATGACCTCTTCCTCCTCTTCGTTGACCTTTTCTTCCAGCAGCACAATGCTCTCTTTGGTCGCTACGATCTCGAGCTTGACACTCGCGACGTCGGTCTCGACCTTGGCGACGAAGAGGGACAGCGCAGCCTTTTGGCTCTCGACGGCCTTGTCGACGACGCGCACCTCGTCGCGGACCACCTAGACGCGTATAGCTCTGATTTCTATCTCGCAGATACCTTGATTTGATGATCGAGGCCTTGCAGCAGATCAATGCGCTTGGCTTGCATGATGATCTCGCCTTCGAGTTCGCCGACACGGTGCTTTTGGGTCTCGACGAGAGCCTCGAGGGCGTGTACCTTGGTGTTGACCTTCTCGAGCTGCTTTTGGCTCTGACGCGCCTCCTTCTCAACGACGTCGATGCGGTCGCGGAGCCGGTCAAACTCGCCCGACATGCAGCGCATGGCGATGGTTTGCATGCGGATGGCCTTCACGAGCACCTTCTTCTGCACGCGCGGGTGTTCGAGGATCTTGACGCCTTGGAGCTCCTCGCTGAGGTTGTGCCATATCTCGGGCGACCCCAGGCCTTGCTTGAGGAGGTCGTCCAGGTCGTTGCGCTGCACCTGCATCATGCTGCGGGGGTTGACCGATCTAATTTTACAACGGCGCCATGTGATTGGGCGTCGCGCGTCTAGCAACGCCCTCCGATTGGCTATCGGGATTGCCAGTCGCATTGGGCACAGTTGCGTTTGCGATGGACGACCACTTTGTGCACGAGGGCATCCTCCTCAAGAAGATGCTCTTTGGCTGGCGCGCCTACTACTGCGTACTGCGCGGGCGCAACCTCGAGCTGTACCACCCGCCCAAGCTCCCGTTGACCAAGCCCCCGCCGAGCCAAAAGCCCAACCGTGTCCTTATCGTCGACACGTACAGCACCGACTTTCGTCGCGGCGACCAGATCGAGCGTACAACTGCTTCAGTCCAAAGCGTCGTAAGCTCATCAAAGTGGCTTCTAGTGGTCAACCCGCGGGGGACGCGCCGCGCGTTCCGATTCACGCCCGATCAGCTGCTGCGGGGCGAGCGCGCGCAATGGCTGTTGGCGCTCCAGACAGCATTTCTCATGGACAACGTACGCACTAGTATATACCACGTGGCATGACGTGGTGTCATAGGCGTTGGCCAAGTACGGGCCCAACATCTCGGAGCAGCTCCTTTCGTATGCCAAGAAACAGCTCAGCGAGTTTGGGGTCGTGCGCATGGACGACGGGATACGCCAGACGCTGCGGAAGCGGTCGATCCACGGTGACCTCTGGAATCGATTTCAGACCATGGTGCACGAAGGCATTACGATCCACGAGGTGCTTTTGTTGCTCATTTGGACGACCGACATAAGATACGAATGCGATACTTTAGGTCGGCGACAGTGGGACGACAGAACATTTGTTTCGAATCGACGACCCGCCGCGCGCCATCTTGCTCTTGCCACTGCACGAAGATGCCTTCGAGTGCAGCGATATTCAAACCATTGAGCTGAGCAGCGTGATTTCGGCCGCATTTGTCCACTCGGCCGGTGCGCCTTGGCCTGGTGTCCTCGAATGCTTTAACATTTAGTCGATAGACGCGCAGCAGAGCCTCACGTGGTTCACACTGACGTGCCTTGATGACGGCGCGGCCTCAAAGGGGCGCACGTTTGACGCGCTGCGCACCGAAGTGCGCAGCCTGCTCGTGTTTGGGATATCGCAGACTTTGCGCAACTTGCAGTACAGCCCCAAGCTTCAACTCCGGCGCCGTCTCACGCTCTCACAACACGAGACGTCGTCCTCGGCCTTGCTCACCATCAACATGGAGTGCCAGCGCGACGCCGTCATCCGCGGCTTCAACGTCAATCCAACAAAAGCGATTGCGCAGGCCATCGCCGCCGGGATCATGCGCGGGATCAGCGTGCGGTCGCTTTCCGATTCTACTTGCTCGATCGAACGCTGCGTCGCGCTCTTTCTGCGGCACACCAAAGGCCTCGATAAAGACACGATTGGCGAGTACCTCGGCAGCGACGACGCCTTTTGCGTGCGCGTGCTCCGGGACTTTTCCCAGTGTACGCTCTAAATCATCCTGCGCGACGGCCATGATCACATGTCGTAGGCTTCTCGTTCGTCGACAAGCCCTTTGAGGCCTGTTTACGTACCTACATTGGCGCGTTTCGGCTGCCGGGCGAAAGCCAAAAGATCGACCGCATGATGGAGGCCTTTGCGCTCGCGTACACGGCGGCCAACCCGAGTGTCTTTCTGCACCACGACGCCGCCCACATCCTCGTACGCACTACAGCACTCCACTTGAGAGAAGTCATCGTGACAGCGCAGGCCTTCTCGACCATCATGCTCAACACAGACGCGCACAACCCGTCGATGGGCAAGCGTCCGCGCATGACCCGCGACGAGTTTGTGCGCAACAACCGCGGCATCGACAAGGATGGCGCCGACGTCCCCGCGCCGATCCTCGAAGCGATCTACGAGAGCATCAAGGTGCGCCTCAAACACATTTGCAATGGCAATGGCATACGGCGTCTGTAGAAGCAGCCGCTGCTCACAGTCCGCGACCGCAACGACAATGGCAATCTCTTCTCGGTGCGTGCACCTACACGGATACTACCCTGATGCAATCTCGGGTTAGAACCCGGCGATGGCGGGCTGGCTCAAACCGTCCAAATTTGGCGGGAAGTGGGCGTACTTTATTCTCTCCACGCATTGCTTGTACTTCTTTTTCGGCCAAGACGACGTGGACCCGAGGGGCTTTTTCACGCTCGAAAACGTCGTCGTGCTCCGAGATCGACCGAGTCAGTTTACGCTCCAAGCGGCGACGCCAGCACACAAGATCAAGGGTGTGACCTACCCCGCGACGACGTCGTCGACCAATAGGACGCTCGAGCACAAGATGCACAAAGCTGTCACGTTCCACACGGATGGCCAAGCCGAGTGCGACGCATGGGTGACGATATTGCGCCAGAACGTGCTCGCATCGCAGCCGTGCGCGGTGCCATCAACGCGGTCCTCGGACGCAGATGCCCCCGAGTCGTCCTACTCGGTGACGAGCCGCGCCCAGCTGCAGCTCCGTTCGTCGTGGTCTCTCGGTAGCGCCGAGGACGAGGAGTCCAAACACAGTGAAGACGACATGGCGATCGTACCCTGCTCACCCCGCCAGTTTACGAGCATGGCATAGGACCTAATTTCATTGGATGCGGAGCTAGTATCAACCGATAGTATCTACCATAATCGTCTTGATATTTTCCAAACCCCACCCCTTGGTTTTCAGCGGCACCGAGCACGTCATGCGACATGTCCAAGGCACACTTCAAGCGCCGGATCACAACTCGCACGGATACGTCGCTTGCCGCAGCCTCGCTTGGTGCCGGCACATCGTCTAATCTGTACTACGACAGCACGAAGTGTAGTGCATGCAGCTACCTAATATTACTATATTCATGTTCACTCAACCGAGCGTTCTCTAGAGCGCGTTCTTGACCGACTCGAAGACCGCGTAGCTGATGCTAATCGCCGGCACGGACTTCATAAAGTTGGGCAAAATACCGCGGTACAGCCCCCAAACACCGTGCGCCTGCACGATCTTGACGAGGCAGTCGCGCATGCCGCTGTACACGACGTGCCGGCCCTTCATGCCCTGCGCCTGGAGCTTCGTGCGCACGACCTGGAGCGGGTACGACACGATCTGGCCGCAAGTGCTCGAGGCCGCACCAAAGAGGAGCACGTGCCCGACGCTTGGCGCGTGGTCGTACTTGTTGATGTACGCCTCCTTCATGGTAAAGAAGAGCGCGAGATCGACGCCAGCGTACGGTACGATGCCGAGGAGCGACGGCGTGAGTCCACGATACAGGCCCGCGACACCATCCTTCTGCACAATACTCGAGAGGCAGTGGGCAATACCATTGTAGTCGCCGGGCTTGGCGAGGCAGAGGTACGTCTTCGCCATCTCGAGCGGGTAGATTGCCAGCTGCGCTGTTGCGCCAGCCGCGCTGCCCGCAATGAGCTTCTCCATACCGTTGAGCGGTCGGTTCTGATCGTGGTGCGGGAAATGGCTCGAGATGAACGAGAAGGCCCAAAACTTGACGGCCGACTCGGGCGTGACCTTGATCGAGTTGGCGCCGTTGCCGCGGAAGAAGGCCGTCCAGCCACCCGACGCGTAGATCTGGCGCGAGATGGACGAGACCGACTCTTGGCACATATGTCCGTGGGCGTTGCCGGCCTGAAGCGCCACCTTGACGCGGTCCATGGGCGCGGTCGCCGTGCGCGAGATGATGCCGGCGAATGCGCCCGCGATGAAGCTCTTCTCTTCAATCGTCAGCTGCGGCGGTTTGACCGTCACAAGCTCGCGGACTGCAGCGACGTGCTCAGCCCACCAGGCTTGGCTCGCGTGCAGTGAGCGGCCTTCGTGGTGCGAGGCGAGCGACGGCGTAGTAGGCGTACTCGCCGTGGACGACGCCGTAGCATCCTCCATGTATGGTGACGAGGCCGTCATACGTCGAGGTATGGGCGACCGAGGCCTGTGGGCGAAGCGACTTGCGTTGTCAAGTGACAGCGGGTCAGGCGTCGTCGCAGCCACCATTTGCAGTCTCGTCGTCATCATTACTCGGCGACCATTTGGCACCGGAGGGTCCGGGCAATCCGGTCGAAGTTCGCACTTGCATACAAACGCGCCTATGATCCGTTTACAGACAGCCGCACTCGCCTCGAAGTTCAAGCGAAACTTCGTCTTGTCGCATATTCGCGGGCCAATCACGTCGCATAAAGATGGGAGAGTGGACCAATCAGTGCCAAGGCGCGTGGTGATGGCAGCGTGCCCGTTGGGTGACCGCAGACTCCGCGACGCGCCCACGTGGCGCACGGTGGCACGCGCAAGATGCAAAGCGGTAGAGCTGCTTGGCCACTAGCCGTCTACCTCGCGCTCTGAAGGTACATGGCGCGGCGACGAGTCCACGCGCATCGCAAGAATCTTCCGCCCTGGCAACTAGATTCCTCGGGTGCCAAATTGGGTTCGTTTCCAGATCTGGGCGCACGGAGCAGGCTTTGCCAGACCGTGCAACCGCGTGTGCAGTCTCTCCGCGAGCTCTCGCCGCGACGCCTTAAGTACGAGCTACGAAGCACCACGCAAGCGAGGATCGGCGTTCTACTCTGCGTGACGATCGACGACGCGCCTTTGTTTATGCACAGTAGTCTAAGTCGTTATTATGCTTGCAGCAGACTGATCTGCAGCGACGGGTCCATGCCGGCCGGCTTCATTTTCGAGCTCGTACTGCGGGCGTACAATGGCGTGTCCCGCTTCAAGAAGCTGTCCTGAATCTACAGTCGTGTTGGCCAAAGGCGTCTCGAGGCGCACACGGACAACATACCCAGAACTGCATGACGTTGAGAAAGCTAGGGCAGATGATCATGACGACGACAAGCTCTGACATGGGATGCATGGCGAGTGGGCTGAAGAGCGCATTGCCGATGGCGCCGAGCGGCCCCGCCGTTGCAATCAAGACCGACGTCACGATGCCCTTGGAAAAGACAATGATGCTAAGCCACGCAACGAGCTGGATGCCCCATATCCTACATGAGACTTGTGAAGTTGACCTTGATGCAGGAGCATGCGCACCGGTACGAGGGCGGGTTGCCGTAGTCGCCGCTGTCTTGGATCGCATGCCAGTTCAAGGACACGGCGAGCTCTTGCTGGAACTTGAGCAGCGAGAGCGCAATGAGCATGCCAAGGGTGCAGTCGGTCACAAAGTTGAGAAAATACCAGACGCACTACGGCCCATGATCGATCGATGCAAGCACCAATGCGACGTACTTGGTCTGTGACGGGCGGCAGCGAGATAGCGATCAAGATGTTGGTAAAGTGTCCCACGACGGCCTAGAAGAGAAGAGCGTCGTCGTTGCGGCGGCGGCAAGCGACACGCACCCCAATGCCTTGCTTCCCGACGTCCAACGCCCAGATCTCCAGCGACCGCTTCGGGCGCTCCACGTGGCGCTTGTACCAGAGCGATGTGAGCGCAATGACGAAGAGTACGACCTGCACGAGGTACGTCTGCGGCCCCGAGAGGAGCTCGCAGCGCTGCGGCATGAAGGCAAAAGATCCAATCTTCCGTCAAAGGGTGCCCTCACGCGTATCCGGAAACCACCGTGAAAATCGACGTGAACAGCGTGAAAAATGTGAAAAAAGCGAGAAAAAGAAACCAGGTCATGCAGCTACTCGCTCAAACCTTGTGTCGCGGGCTCAACGAGATATTGACGAGCTGGTGCTTTTGCGTTCATTCTTGTCGCTCCAAGTAGTAGTATCGGACAGCGTTGCATGGTTCTCTCGACACATCAGAGCTCTGGGACTGGTATTCCACGCTGCGGATTGGATACAATCTTGCGCAAATGACGCCTTTCCAACCAATCACATGACTTATTTCAATGAAATATGTATGGAGGCAAGGCCATTGGCTAAAATGCTGTCGAGAAGGCATACCGTAGACGACACTGTGCGATGTACTACGGTAGCAGTACTACACCAAGGACGTGAGACCCAGGGATGTACTCTACCGCAAGCCGACGCAATGGCCGCGGTTGCCATGCAATATGGTCGTCCATGGCGTCGAGGAATCTCGAAGCGCTCGGTGTCGGGCTCCGTATCCGGACAAATCCATGGAAGGCTACTTGGTGCAAAGATACCGAGCACAGTTTGAGAAATAATTGGGCGCAACTGCCGCTGTCTATGTCGAGCCAACCACGCCATATGACCCATGCTGGCGCTGCTCAGTACAGCACTGCACCTCTCACGGCCGCGGACTACTCTCTCGAGGCGCACAACCCGACCGCCGTTGACGCCATGGCCTCCGCACCGCAGACGACTACGTACCCTCCGCCGCCTGTGTTGACGTACAACAGCCGCCCGCAGGCGACCGGGAGCCCGATCTCGTCGGCGCGCTCGTGGATCACCGTGCCGTGCCAGAACCCGTCGGCCGCGCCGTGCCATCGGTCGCTGCACGTCTGCGCAGTCCATAAGGACTCGATGTACATCTTTGGCGGCTACGACGGCTCGAACCGTGTCAACGACTTTTTCGAGTACAACTTCAAGCGCAAGGTGTGGGCGCAGGTGCTCGCGATCGGGATCCCGCCGACGCCGCGCGACCGCCACGTCGCTGTCGTGTACAAGGACTCGTTCTACGTCTTTGCGGGCTTTGACGGAAGCTCGCGCGTCAACGACTTTGTCGAATTCAACTTTGGTATCGCGACAGGGTTAGCACGCCTCCAAAATCATTGCCTCTGTCTAGTGACGCAAAAGTGGAGCCCCGTGGCCGTCGCGTCGGGCATGCCACCGAGTCCGCGCCACAGCCACGCCGCCGTCGTCTACGGTACGTCGCCGCTCTCTGCTGCCTTTCCTCTACAAACGGTGTACATGGGCAGACAAGTCGCTCTTCTGCTTTGGCGGCTACGACGGCAGCTACCGCAACGACTTTTACGAGTTCAATTTCGGTAATTTGCTTGAAAACACCGTCCGGCATCCAACAAGCGACTGCATAGAAACCTGCGTCTGGTCGCAAGTTGCGGCCACTGGGCGGTTCCCGCGCCCGCGCTACCGCGCGTCGCTCGTGACCCACAAGTCGACGTGCATTCTCTTTGGCGGCCACGACGGGTCGCGCCACCTCAACGACGTCCATGTCTTCAACTTTGGTATGGCTGAGTCGCATGCGAATGCTCATGCGGACGTAGCGCTGCGGTCGTGGTCGATGCTGCCTGTGGAAGGGCCGGCGCCGATTCCCCGCGACAGCCACGTGGCCGTCACACATGGCAACGCGATGTACATCTTTGGCGGCTCGACGGGCAGCGCCATGAACGACTTTCACGAACTCAACCTCGGTGACTCGACCTGCGGGTGTAGCCTGGAGCACTCTGACTGTGGATTAGAAAACAATGTGTGGCAGCCCATGGCCTTCAACGGGCCGCCGCCCGGCCAGCGCTTCTGTCACGTCGGGTGCGTCTACGATGACAGCCTCGCGATCTTTGGCGGCTACGACGGCTCGAGTCGCCTCAACGACTTCAAGGAGTTTCGCTTTGGCGAGGAAGTCGAGCTCGATATCCCGCCGCCATGCCTCGTCAACGACCTCCGCGACCTTGTTAACAACCAAACGATGAGCGACATCACGTTCCTCGGTATCCTTGTGTTCTCATCCACGGTCTCATGTTTGTCTAGTCGAGGGCGTGCCGATTTATGCCCACAAGATTCTCTGCGTGCGCTGCAGCTACTTCAAGGCCATGCTCACGGGCGAGGTACGTCTCCAATCCCTCTCTCTCGGCGCATCATACTGTGTCTAGATGCTGGAGAGCCGCGCGCGCGAGGTCGTCGTCCCCGACGTGCGCAAGGTCATCTTCCTCGCATTCCTCGAGTACCTCTACACGGACCACGTGACGGTCGACGTGGAGACGGCCATGGAGCTCTTTGTCACCGCCGATCGCGTACGTCGTTTTCAAAGCTAGGCGGATGCATGTGGACACTGTGTCTAGTACGGTGTGGACCGACTGAAGAAGATCTGCGAGAGCAAAATGCTGAGCTCGCTCTGCATTGAAAACGCTGCCAGCATCCTCCACGCCGCCGACATGCACTCGGCAACGATCCTCCGCGACCGCTGCATCGCATTTATGCTCAACAACTTTGACGCAGTCACCAAGACGAACGCCTTTGAAGAAATGGGCCGCACGAACGTCGATCTCGTCTTCGAGCTCCTCAAGCGGCGCTAAGGAGGCCTGTGTGTACCCCATCTTTTAATATATACGTCTATCCTTTGTCGCTACTAAGCGTATGTCGCAACGCGAGAGGCAAGAGGCGGCTCTTGATTTCCTAACGTGAGAGCCGGCGGCGGTCGACGATCTCACGTAGCAGCAGGACCAGTCACAGCGCTTCTTGCGCGCAGCGTCGGCACCAAAGCGTTAGAAAGGATGCCGATCAGCTCAAAGCAACCAACCGGTGCACGTTCTGTCATGCACTTGAGCGATTCGATTGGTCAAGTGCGAGCTTCGATTTTAAAGCCGCACTGGATTGGTCGCTCTATTTTTACAGTGCTATGGGACTGCCACGTCATGACGCAATAAGGATGCAACTAAGAAAATGAGGAATGCAATTAGGCATGACAAGTTGGCTTAGTCGAGGAACCCGGTGACATTGTCCATGTGCCCAATGTCCATGTCGTGCAGAAATTTGTAGCTCGACCGGCGCGTGATCGTCTGGTTGTCCATTTCAAAGACCAGCATGGACCCGACGGTCGAGCTGTAGAATCGCTTGAGGAAGGCGGTTGGAATCAAGCGGTAGATGAGTTCGTACTGGACGTTGGTCGTGCGCGTCATTTGTGTGTTGGAGACGCGCAGCATGTTTTTGATGATGAGGACGCCAGCGTCGAGGGCCGGCGTGCCCTTGGCCGAGAGGCCCACGCAGCCGTGCGTCGAGGTCGCAAGGTCGTGCACGTTCGAGATGTTCAAGTACCGGAGCACGGAGCTCGTTGGCAGGAGCCCGTGGGAGCCCGACACGAGGCGCGAGTGCGCATAGATGACGAGGATGGCGAAGACAATGACCCCCCCAGCGATGATGGCCGACTGGTAATAAGTGTGCGGAATCGCGTCAAAGAGAAAGCAGTTGGTCGACGTGGCGAGGCCGCAGGGGTTGGCAACCATGCTGTTTTTGTACGGGTACACAAATCCCTCGAGGTAAAACACGATGACCCAATTGGCGACGCTGAAGAAGAGCACGAGCCACGTCTGGGTGACGACGCGTGGGTTGAACCAGATCTGGATCAGCGTCCCCGTCATGATACCGACGATCGACGCCATTTGCGCGGGCCCGCACAAAATGTACCTTTTACCATTTGGCGGGAATCGCGTCGGCGGGATTTAGAATCAGGTACGTCGTGAGCGTCTGGAGGTTGTTGTTGCCATAGTACGCAACAAAGAGAATCACGAGACCCAGCACGTTCTTGGAGAGATGCACAGGCACGTAGCAGACGCACGAGTGGCGCAAGAAGACCGCTTGCATGAGACACATGGCGAGCGAGACGACGAAGAGAACGACTGCGTTTGTGAGCATGAGCGAGTCGCACCTGCCAGATCATCGTGACTGCGCCCTGGATCTGCAGTAGCCACCCGAGGTTGGTCGCAAAGTTGTACGTGCCGCACTGCGACGCCGGCACAATGTCCCACGGCGCATTGGCTTGGAGAACACCCGATTGATACTCGTCGGTCGTCGCGACCGTCACGAGGCTCAGCGTCCCGTTCAAGCCGCCGCTAAGAAGCGTGGTTTTGCCCGCGTTAAAGTAAAACTGACTGCGCTTGGCGACACCGAGGTACACGGCACGTCCGTTGCGCATCTGAATCGCAAACGTGTTGGTGTTCATGGGCACTTCGTTCTCGCACATCCATTTCGGGTCGTACGCCCGCACCGAGCAGTACGCGAGGCAATCGATCGCGGGCTTGAGCGTCGCCACGTCGACGTACGTGATTTTCGCACAAGACACGTGACGGCCGTCGCGTGGCCATCAATGTAAAACTGCGCCGACGGTTTGTTAAACCCACTGAGGTTGTTGATGTGCTTGAACTTGACGATCTGGTTCTTGTCCTGAAACAACGGGTCGTCGAACGCCGGAATCTGGTCAAACGCGCGGCCAATCGTGCTCCAGATCATGTTGGATTGGGCTAAAAATGCATTGGCGCACGCGACGTCATTGACGCCGCACTCCTTGTAGTGGAGGTCGCTCACCGACCACGTCGCTTGCGTGCTCGAGAGTGTCGTCGGGTTCGACACTACGACGCTCGACCCTTGCAGAAGCGTTGTCACGGGCACGTCAAACCGGTTGTAGTCAAAGGCCTGGACGATGAGACCCGTGAAAACCGGTTGGTTGGCGATCGACGTGAGCGTATACGTCGTGACGGCGACGACACCCGCAAAGCCCATGTAGAGCAGCGAGAGCGCCATGCCCATTCCGAACGGCAGCCGCTTGCGCACAAAAGCAGCTGCCGACACGAGGCGGCTCTCACGCCGGTTCTTGTCCGTTGGTTCCATCTCGTCGCTGTCTGTTTGACAATAATGACTGCGCGGCCTTTCGCAGCGTCAGGTTATAAATAGTCGTGGTCGGTAGCGACTGGGGTCTCCATCTTGCTCGGCGAATCGCTGTTGCTGGACATGCACGGACGAGCGTTGGGGGCCAAACACAGTAGATCGAGGCACTCTATATACGCTACCCCATTCGACATGGCGACAGCGAACAACCATCCTCGATATGCCAACTCATCGCTGTCTCGAGCTTCCCCATATCCCATCATGTGACCGATCACCACTATTCTTCAAGACATCCGCGTGTATTTCTGTTTAGCGACACCATGTCGGCGTGTCGCTCGACGCCTCGATCGTGTCGAGTGTCTTGTAGCCGCTGGCGCGGCTGATGACGTTTTCTTTCAAATGCACGACATGGAGCGAGCCCACCGTGTCACTGTAGAGGCGCTGGAGCCGCCTCATCGGCAGTACCATGTGAAAAAGCACGTACGGCGCGTTGGCCATGCGCGTCATGTCGCCTGTCGCGATGCGCAGCATGCTCTTGATGAGGAGGACGCCATTGTCGGCGCCACTGCCGTTGACGCAAGCCGCCGATGACGTGAGAAACTGCTCGTACCGATCCGCGTTGAAGTACGATAGCACGGACGTGGGTGGTGGCGACGAGCGGGAGGCCGAGTGCACGTACACGGCTGCGATGGCAAGCGCGACGACAGTGATGGCGACGCCGGCCGAGACAAAATGCATTTTCAGAACGGCGCTGAACACAACGCAGTTGGACGTCGTCGGCAGCGCGCACGGACTTGGCACGTTGGTGCTTTGGCTCGGAAACAGGTAGGCTTCCAGCACAAAGACCAGAATCCAGTTGACGGCACTGGTCACCAGTAGCAGCCACGTCTGCGTGACCAGTCGCGGGTTGAACCACATCTGGACGAGCGTCCCCGTCATGATCCCGACGATCGATGCCAGTTGCGCCGGCCCGCAGAACGCGTAGTAGTACACATTCCCGTAGCTCGGGTTTTGGTGCAGGTAGGTCGTGAGCGCCTGGAGGTTTTCGTTGCCGGCAAACGCGACAAGGAGGATCGCGACGCCAATCACATTTTTCGACATGTCGACGGGCACGCAGCAAATGTGGCTGTGGCGCAAAAACACACTTTGGACCAGTACGAGGTAGAGTACCATGACGAGCAAGACGGCGGCGTTGGACGGCATGAGCGAGTTGCACTTCCACGTCATCGTGACGTAGCCCTGGCACTGCAGTAGCCATCCAAGCTTCGTGGTGCGGTCGAGGTTGGTGCAACGCGCTGCGACAAGCACGTCCCACGCGGCACTGGCTTGGACGAACCCGCGGTGGTACTCGTTGATGGACGGTATGGTGCTGAGCGCGACGTCGCCGAGCGAGCTGCCGCGAAAGATGGCGACGTGGTTTGGGTTGAAGTAGACTTGGTTCCGCGGCGTGACGCCAATGTAGGCGGCGACGCCGTTCCGAACTTGGATCGCGTACGTGTGGACGCTCGCTTCGACGTCGGTCTCGCAAACCCACTGCGGGTCGTACGGCCGCTGCGAGCAAAAGGCGAGCGAGTCAACGATCGGCTGTGTATGGGCTGCGGAGACAAAACTCGCGCGGCGCACCATGCACGTGATCGCCATGTCATGACCCGATATGTAAAACTGGGCCGTCGCTTTGTTCCAGCCGCTGAGGTTGTTGATGTGCTGGAATTTGACAGTCTCGTGGGGGTCCTGAAACCGCGGCTGGTCAAAGTCGGGAATCAGAGCCAGTGCCGCTCCGACTGTCGCCCATAGCTCGTTGGATGCGGCTGTGAATTCATTCGCGCACGACCGGTCGCGACATGCCTTGTAGAGGAGGTCGCTGAGCGAGGCGCGGGTCGATGTGGCCGTGACACTGCTTCTGCCTTCGAGGAGGATGTTGATGGGCACGTTGTAGAGATTGGAGGTGAAGCCTTCTTGGACGAGCCCGAGGTAGACGGGCGTGTTGGCGATGCCAGAGAGCAAGTAGGTCGTCGCCGCAACGATCAAGGCAAACACAAGGTACAGCACCGCGAGCAGTATGCCAGGGCGCCAACACGAGCGCGGCTGCAGCTTCAGACCTTGGTGCACAAGCGCACTGGACGGTGGCGCCACGCGGTTCATGTCGTTTGGGCCGCGAAACCGAAGTCTCGAAACGATAACGAGCGTTTTGCGTTAGCCGAAAGGACGCTGCGATGGCCGAGTGTTGATTCCTTCCACCTTTGCGCTCTAGTCTTTATGAGACGGCGGCATACAATGGAAGAAGATGCCACCGCTAGTTCTATCGGCGTAAGA